AATCCGAATGAAATAAGTAGAAGACGAATTTCACTTTATTTTACAGTGCCCAACATATGAAAATTTAACGAAGAAATTCCAAAAAAAAAAAAAAATTATCAAAGTAAATTAATAGAGTATATAAATTAATCCAACTACCGGGGTATTCAGTGTTCGAAATGTAAGTGAATTGAGGAGTCTTGGTAATTTTTGAAGAGAAGCAAATCATATTCGGGATACAAATTAGACTCATCATATTAACATGTGATTTACTGTATTAAAATACATATGTATAGATATGCATATTTACTTTCATTCTCATTTTCTCTTGTGTGAGGATATTTATTGTCTTCTTCTTCAGCCATGTAAATTATGTATGATATATGTTTTTACATAAATGTTGATCTAATGTATCTGTTGTTAAAGAAATGAAAGAACTAAACTGTTTGCACGATTATAATAAGTAATTAATCCTTTACCAAATTTGTAAAATTTGTGGCTTTGAGGTCAAGTGCTTAGGTCCCAAGGAGGGGCTAAGTTGGTCATGTATTGTAAATAATGACATTATTTGAAAATTATCCTCATTTGCACGGGATATGTAGAGGGCAATAAGTTGGTCATGTATTGAAAATAATTACACTGTTGAAAATCTCCTTCTTACTCATGTAGCAGACATATACTGTTATAATTATAATAAAATCTTAACCCCCTTCATATATATCTTAAAATTCCTCCCCCCACCCACCCTGGACCATGGCTCAGATCCCAAGGAAGGGCTTAGTTGGTCATATATAGAAAGTACTTTACAATATAGAAAGTACATTTTTGAAAGTTTTTTTCACTATACTCATAGATATCTAGCAGGCAAATTGTTCACATGATTATAATGAGCATCAAGCTATATTTAGCAAAAAATATCTTTCTTCTTTTCTAATACATTTACTTTTAGAGCGGATCTTCTTCCAATTTTGTACAGGTAAACAGTAAGTCTAACCGAATCTTCGCTCAAATAGCTATATCAATTGGTATTAACGGTTGTTTACAAAGAAAACTGAAAGAACAATTAAACAATATAGTCCCTCCCCCTTTAAATAAATAAATAAATAAATAAATAAATAAATAAATAAATAAATCAAGGTCAAAGCATACCATCAAAGCAAGAGCAACCATTGTGCTATTACATGTATATTGATAGGAAACGGTGATTTTGACCTTTGAATACGACTTTGAAGACAATGTTATACTGAAGGTAGGATTACATTTTAAAATGAAGACTTGATATCAGTCCTTATATTTGATATTGACCAGAAAAAAACCTAATGCAATTGCTTTATTTATTATGTAAATTTAAAAAAAAATTGTTTGCAACTTTCTGTACTATCGTGTCCGTGTTTACATTACATATTAATTGGAACAACAACCAATTCTGTAATATCGCTCTATTTCCACACAGTACCAAGGAAAGTAAACATGCTCTATTTAAATTCACGCAGATAATGAAAAGGAAATCTCAGGAAAAAAAGGAAGTGAAAGAAAAAGAAATGAGATTACAAAAAGACAGCTGAGAGTGAATCATTTGACATGTCAGCAACATTCAGTTTTTGTTTGACAAAGATTTTTACGTATCCTCCATACATTATATAGGAATATCAGATAGCAAGTAACACAGTGTTCTGTTTGATAAGTACTCGTATATGTACAACCGCTGCATTTCATTTCCGGAATTTTGCATAGCATTTTTTTAAAATTTCATTTCCGACAATTTTTTTTTTCATTTCCGATATTTATTTTTTTTTTTCAATCCCAGAATTTTTGCGGGGTACCTCTCCGGCAATTTATTGTTAACCAAGTAGGTGGAAATGGAATTTTAAATCTTCAATCTTGCTTTCATTGCCGAAAAGTACTGCTTGAAAAATGTCGGAGATGAAAACTTGAAAATGTCAGAAATGAAAAATTGAAAATTTCAAAAACTTCCTGACATGAAATGCAGCCATGCACAACAACTGCTCTTATGATGTAGATGAAACTATCAAATTCATGGTGCAGGTATATAAGTTGTATGTGACCTAGGTATGAATTTATATATAGGAGTTGGGATATTGATAAAAAGAGGAAAATGTTCCGAGAAAGTAATATAATTTAATCAAATTTACATGAAATTGAAATATAAAGACTTTTTTACGTATAGATCTTCACGCAGCTACTTATTTAATGTTTGAAAGTATGTTTGATAATTCGAATAAAAATGAATATTAAGTTCAGCGATGAATACGAACGGTTCACAAAACTTTTTTTTAAAGAATTGAAGATTACCATAGTTGCAGAAAAAATACGGAGTTTTTTTGTTTACGCTAAGTTGTGAACGAGTACCTTTTCGTTCATTCATTCATTCATACTTTATTTCCACTATGCTGTGATTAATGAACACAAAATATGCAAATGGAATAACATACAAAATACATACTAACTACATTATCATACATACAAATGGAATAACATACAAAATACATATTAACTACATTATCATACATACAAATGGAATAACATACAAAATACATATTAACTACATTATCATACATACGTGTTCGTACACATGTGAAAGTTAAATGTATGTGTACATTTATAGAAAATGCAATATTTACAAAGGTTGTTAACACAAGCTAATGATCGTTATTTATATATGCACTTCATACCCATATGTCTCTATGCGATACCACAAAAAATCACAGATATAATTTGGGGAGACTGAAAAAAAATAATGGGGGGGGGGGCATGGTTGCAGAAAAAATATTGAGTTCTTTTGTTTACTTTAAGTTGTGAACGAGTACCTTTTCGTAATTCTGAATAATTTATAAGGCTATACCCGAACTTTCACTCTAGGGCTACATTTTATGGGATTATTCCATTTTAATGCAATGATTTCTTTAATTTGTGAAAGGAACACAAACCTTATCTTTCCGGGTCTAAAGAATTCTAACTGTATCTGTTTGGGACATTACAGATGGTGATTTTCCGTGAGCGTGCTATATAATATTTAGTGATTAACAATCATTTTCATACCGACTGATTTTCCTTTGTGTTCTAATCGACCTGGGAACTCTTGTTGTCTGATTCTATTGTAGAACCGTGTAAAGATACTATCAGGAAGCACCTTGCAGTGCGGTTAAGGGAAGAACAATTGAAATAAACGTCCGTATTAAACACTGCCATCTGTTGGGAAAAAGTGAGAGAGAGAGAGAGAGAGAGAGAGAGAGAGAGAGAGAGAGACTTTTTTTCGGCTAATAATGCTCTCCGTTTCAATTCACCAATGTAGCCTGTGTTCTACTGCTCCCAAACTTTGCTGTATATCAATCTCTGAACAGTAAAACACACAGCACTGGACTCACACACTTGGACATCCGGCTGTACAGGTCAGAGATCGAAACAGAACGTGACTTTTTGATACCCGTATCTGGACTCTGGAAATTGACCACATGAAGCCACGGGTTTTTCTTCGGCCAGGTGAAAGGTTAGTGGTCGGCACGTGTCGTTCACTGTTGACCATTTGGTCAGGTAAATCGCCCGTATAATTATGTGAAAAACCAACAGTGTGCAGCACTTTAAAAGTTTATTCTTTATTTAGCAAGAGCCAATTGTAGACCAAAAAAAAAAAATGTGTAAAATTGCTCGTATATGCATATGTTTTGATCGGGAAAAAAAAACCCGTCGTACCAATACTAATTTGCCCAATTCGCTCCCCCCCCCCCCCCCAATAAAATAAAATAAAATGAATAAATTTAAAAAAATTAATCAAATTAAAGATACACGAACATATAGAAATAAATATGTCTCTTTAACCACGCTTTCGCCAGTTTTCGCTTGACATGCGATTACGGGTCCCTTGTTTTGATTCCGTTAATGGTCAGCTGGTACCCGCAGAGTCCGCGCCCGTGTCAATTTCCCCGATCTGGACTTACCGTAATCGGCCTTTGTTATTGGGATAAGTCATCAAGTAATGCCGTTATGATCGACAAATTACGTAACTGATGTCAGATAAACACACCAGTGGATGGTAATACCTAGTTGACATTTATAATTGACTTTTCCTGAATCGTATCTGGCGGTTTTAGGAAAGGTGATTTTATAGTAAGTCTCATATAGACGTATGCAAATTTCTGGTACTGGGAAAAATAAGACATTCGGTAAGTCTTATTTACGAAATCCAAATAAGTACAAATTTCTCTTCTTTAAAGAAAGCTGAATCCCTACCATTCAGGCCACGATTTCCGTTGATGTACATGAAGTAAAACCACATCTTTAAGCAAATCTTTTGCCCGACCGTCCTCCAAGAACTGTGGACCGGTCCACTTTTTTTTTCTTGCCTTCGTTGTCAAAAAAATTATTGTACCGGAACACCCCCCCCCCCCCCGAAAAAATAAGAAAAATATGCACCAACTTTGTTACTTGTTGGGTAAGTAAATCATCTATTAATTATGATATTAAATTGATATATAGAGATAATCTACGTTGGTGATTATTCTAGATTCCATATTGCTTGATTTTACGTAATCATTGTACAAAAAGTTATAGATCACGAGAAATCACTCTTTTTAAAACTTTTTTGTAGCATAGTTTTGGGAGGAATTACGCGAAAAAAATTTAAAATGCAAGGCAAAATTAGACACCAGTTCAGGAAAGGGGATATCAATGTTCAATTTATTAAATCATAACACACTATTTTGTCAAAAAGTGGACAGGGGTAGATCACTCTGATTATTCAGCATAATTCCAGTGCTGTGTGTAAAGGAAGATAACTCCAAATTCACCTCAGCAATATCCGTTATATCTATATATATAAAAAATAAAAGGCACACGGCTTACATAAATCATATCTTTTCATCTGGCGGCCTTTTTTGATTAGATAATAAAATTTTTACTAAATAAAAAGTCTTATAAATAGAAATTAATAATGTATTATTGCATAAACAAACACAATGAAACAATATTCAAAATCAATTCAAACAAATTAAAGATTTTTCTCTTAATACACATTTAGCTCCATTAATAACTGCATGAATATTGTGTTTTCAGCATTCAATTTATAACACTTTGTATGTAAATAATAATAAGAAGTCAAGGTGATTAAATTGTTATTGTGATTAAACATCACAACGGTTCAATTCCATTACATTTACGAGTTTTATGCTTCACAAAATACTTGCAGTGAGTTTATCACTTTTACACTGTCTACAATACTTTTGATAAAAATCGCAAACAAACACAAGTATTTCAAATACATTCAACAAGAAATGTGATTTTCGTTAAGGTACACGAACATTGTAATGCAGTAATGATACGACTTTTATATACACAAGATTCACAAGTATATATCACAGAATTTCATTATAAAGGCCGCAATCAATGGGTAGCTGATCTACTACCCGTTCCAAAAGGTGACGGTTTTTGCCGAAGCCACGGAGTGTTACGGCGATACCCGAACTTTCCGTTGTAACCAATCACTGGCTGGACTCCTTGCATGAACTGAGCGTGTCCGTCCGTAGTTTCCCCGGAATGACCTATGGAGTGCATTCACTTTTATTAGATTTATTCATTGCAGTAAATTATTTATACTTATATACTGATTTTTATCACTGTACTTCTCGGAGAGAGAGAGAGAGAGAGAGAGAGAGAGAGACTTACTTACCAGCACCAAATTGGTTCCTGAGTGAAAGGTACTGGAATCCCGTCCCCTTTTCGTGGAAATAGTCGGCTACTGGTCCCTCGATTGAAGTACCACCCTCGTTCTGAAAGTCGGAGAAAAAAAAAATGGTTATCCGCCATGAGGCTGTCTTCTGCTCGCGAAAATTTAATTCTAGAGTATATTTTTATTTAGTTAGAATAATCTAACTGTGTCTTGGGACAAGCCCTCACCACAGTTGTTAAACCAGGTCCGTAGGACAATATCATTTTAACGATAGAACGTTCTATCTAATTTTTATTATAAAAGAATAGGTATATATAAAAAAAGTCAAATTCGTGAAAAGTTTGTCTCGCTTATAAATAACAAAAGACTATATCTCACTGAACTAAGGTGTCGCGAAAATCTGATGATATACAGTAACTTTGAGTAGGTAGACAAGTAATCTTTATAATGGAAGGACTCGGAGAGGGATTTATTCTCACACAAGATAACCTATGAATGTAAAGTCCAATATGTATGCCAGGGATTCTCAGGACCATAGAACACGGGGAGGGGGGCGGCCCCCTTTTTTCGGGAATACTTTTTTGATGTACAAATGTGTGCCAAAAGTGAAGCTAATCTTATTTTTTCTCTATATATTTAATTGAAAACAACATTTTGTAAAATCACTGGAATGACAACATTTTTGAAAGATTTTACCACAAATTTCTCAACAATCCAAGAAATTGTTATATTTCATTAAACAATAGTTTTTATCTGATCAGCATCAATATTTAAAAAAATATTGTAATTTAAGTGCGATATGAAAATCTTAAGTCCTATACACACACGGCGAATTATATAGTCAACATTGATCTTAAATTTTAGAACTGATATAAATGATGAACTATCTTTTTCTAAAAACTAAATATGTAATGATCTTTTAGAGAAAGATAACAACACATTTTCTGGTTTAAGTACTGAAATAAATAACGAAATGGAAAAAAAATTGACCATTTGCCAGCGATTTAACTATATATGGTTTTCAATAAAACATAAAAAAAAAAAATTAAAATTATCTTCACCTTTGGCACATATCTGTAGTTTTACTTTGTAAATTTTCGTTTGGAAGCTTCTCTCTCTCTCTCTCTCTCTCCCCCCCCTTCCACACACACTTTTTGTTGGTGTACGTTCGAACACAGGCAAATTCTAGCATTTGAAAAAAAAGTGTACCAAAATGGTAGAGAAAGGTCCAATTCACTCCGCCCCCTCCCCCACGAAATAGGATTTTCGAGTCTGAGTAGTTTACGTTTTTTTTTTTTTTTTTTTTTTTTTTTTTTTTTTTTTTTTTTACTTTTGCTTGTCAAATTTCTTTTTGGAGATTGTCTCCCCCCTTTGAAACTCGCTGCTGGAGGCAGCAGGTCTGATTCTGTGGGGGAAGAGGGTTACCCCTTACATACACGTATATTGTGACACTCTTTTTGCTCTCAATTGGAATACACGATATGAAAAGCTAAATGAAATATATACTTAGGTTATCAAATTTCAAACTAAACAGAATAGCAATCCAGGTTCGAGTTCAGTTGTGAAAGAAGTTGCAGTTCGAATACTTAGTAAACTCCAATATACATGTAATCAGATTTGTCTCAAAGTAATGATTTTTTTTTTTTCTATCAGATACGCTTTGAAGTTACGTCTTGGTGTGGCAGGCATGTCATTTTTTTTTTGCCATATCTGATAAGGCAGGATAGATACAAAGATTTGAATTTATGATTTAAACTTAAGATTGAAAGGTATGTTGATAGGGCTATCTCAGAAAATTCAGAGGAAAGTAAGGAAACACAAAGCGAAAAAGCTATCCGCCTTTAAGAACGAATAACCTTTTTAGTAATCAAAATGCATCATTAAAAAAAAATATTGGAGAGCAATACTCTTTGTGCAGATGTACAGGTACACTCCCTTTAATTTCAAATTGTTTCAATATAGAAGTAGATTTTCAAAAATGATTCAACAGCCGAACAAAAATACACACATTTACTGAACTAAAGTTAAGCTTCTTTCATACTATCTGTTAAAATCTATAGAATTCCAGCAGAGTTTAGTCTGATGGTGTATCGATTAATGTAAAACGTTTCTGTGGTTCACAGAGTAGACGCCAATAGGTAAAAAAAGAAAGACAATCGTAGATTGATTGCACCCTGTAACACCTCCCTTGCCGATCATCGATCTCAGCAGTTAGACGATCTGAAGCTAACAGACAGGTTAGGGAGAGGTTCATTGATAATACAGGGTATAGATAATAGAAGGATGTATTCTCCTGAGACATCTCTCACCAAAAACAACGAAAAAGAGGAAACTCCCAGGCTACATTCTAAGTACAATTAGTAGTATAAGCACACGTGCATAAACGTAATTTCTCTTTCCAGGTATCATTATGGTCTTCAAAGCGATCTGAGGGTCTGTGCTTCAATTGTCCCCATTCTAACAGCTATGTTTATCATATTTTTCTTTAACAAACTGCAAATAAACTGAAATGAAAATTGCGTGATCATGTTGTTTTTCAAGTTTTATGAAACTTAATTTAAAAAATATAGGTACTTCCAGTACCTCTATTTATTTCGGCTTAAGCCTACAATCTGTGCAAGATCGATTGGTCGCAAGTTGATTAAACATTTATGAGCGAACACATGAAGTTTTATCACCTCACACACCTGTATACCCGTTGAATATCACCTTATCACCTTATCCTTTATGACACGTTAGTTTTGTATCATTTTCGTTTGATTGACTCTACAGGTATTTCATCACTCAATACACAGCTATAACGTTTATTTATTTTATATTCTGCCACACGAAGGTACTTGAACTGAAATGTGATATTCGTCCCGCAATATCGAGATACATGAACCCCCTACTGGTTTATAAAGTATTTGAATTGATTTACAACAGGTAAAATGAAATCATTGAAATGCATAATCTTATAGATTGTCAAAAGAAGTTCATATTGAACAAACTTTCGAGTTGTGGAGCTATATATATATATATATATATATATATATATATATATATATATATATATATATATATATATATATATATATATATATATATATATATATATATATATATTTACATTTTGTCACTTTTAAGGTGATTGGCACAATACAATTAATAACCTGTAAAAAAAATCTAAAGATTTTGATGATTAAAATGAAGCGTCCGTTGTATGCTAGTTTTTTTTCGTTTTGCAGACCTAGTTGAGTACGCCCTCATAACTATAGAATAAGTACTGTAATATTGTAAATATCGGATGCTGACCCAAATTTTCTCTTAAAAAGTATTAATGAAAAATTACTATTGTAAGGAAATAGCGTAGAAATATTCACATAAAAGATTTTTAAAAACATTTAAAAAAAAAAACAACAACAGATACACAAGAACGTTCACTTACCTGAGCAGTTTTCTCAAGTGTCTCGTTTACTCCAATAAATTCGAAGTACTCGTCCACATGCTTGTCTTTCTGCGAGTTATAGGGGGGAATTACAGGTCCCAGTTTGGGGTTGGTCTTAGAGTAATCGGTGGAAATACTACTGACGGCGCCACAGTCCAAAACAAACCCTTTCTCCTTCTCTAAAAGAGCGTCCGGGGGTGGGGTGGGAGGGGTGCGGTAAATTTTGTTCTCACGACCTTTCTCTGAGGCTGAACTGGACGGCATGGCTTTGACCTGTGGAATATGTCAGGTATGTTTCATAAAGGTGTTTCATACAAGTTATAATCCCAAGATATCGCCACCAAGACGATCAATCTTCGCTATTCAACGTATTAACAGATAAAGGATCGATATGTCATAAGCCTAACAAAAACATTAATATTTCATAAACTCTTTTGAGCAACTCAGTTCTTACTTAAGCCATTATTTGGATTTCAATTAAATAGTTTATTTACGAGAAACCCGAATTTCCTTAATTAGATGTCGCTTCTCTTACCTTGGTTGCTAAGTGTGCAAAGTCTCGGGGATCGAGGGTCCGAGACGTGAGACTTCCAATCAAAATAATTCTTTTTAAATTTAGTTAAAGTTTGATATAGATCATCTGCGTTTAAATCCTACTGATTGAGGCCTCTTTAGGGGGATTTAAGCTGTTGAAGGAATCGATACAGCTGACGTATTAACAGATTAAGGGCAGCCAGACGAAGTAACGTAATGTTCATTTCATTTCTTCCTTTTAAATCCATTCAATATTTACAAGTACATGGGTATTTGTTTTCTGTACATTTAAATCTCAGCTATCACAATAAAAAAAATTACATAGCATAGAGCCTTTTACTGAAAGTGATTTAATTTTCAGTATTTGAAAAGGTGTTCAGTTACTTCTTGTTATAATATTCCGTGCCGAAAATTGAATCCTGACACCCAGTCCTGGCTGTTTAGCTGGGTAACAATACATAATTGGAATATTTAAGAACCTCGCAAGAAATAAACTGATAAATACCCATCTGACAGACGCGGATCCAGGATTTTGTGTTAAGAGGGGCGCTATTGATTGGGTCCCCAGCAGACTAAGGACAATATCCCCCGTGGGGGCCTGGGGACAAAGCCCCAAATTAATATCCCCCACTTTCAGTGAAAGCGGGGAAACAAACATATTTCAGATAGTTTTCACAGTCATAATTTTATGTATAAAAAAAGCAAAATTACATTTATTTTAGTATGTGACGAAAGGTTATCAAAATGCCGATCTCGGGAGCTAATGGGGTCTGTACGTCCGTCTGCCATCTTGTCTGTGTGAAACACTTTCGTATCCGGACGATATCTCAAAATACCTTTGAACCTTTGCAATGAAAGTTTATATCACAACGTCCTATGACCTAAAGATCCTTATTGATTTTGAGGTCAAAAGGTCAAGGTAAGAAATTCATACATTCTGTCCATGTGGAAGAATTTCGTTTTCGGACGATATTTCAAAAAGCCTTTAAACTTTGCAATGAAATTTTATATCACAACTTTCTATGGCCTAGAAAGTTCAATAAGTTAAAGGTTAAGGTCAGGAATTCATACATTAAAAAGAAATGAGAAAATATAAAAGAATTCATAAAATTGTTTCCTGGTGATGACTTTGGTTTTCTTTGGGGTTTTGCAATGAAATTTTATACGTTAGTCAACATAAAAGAAGAAGAAAAATTATTGATTTTGAGGTCAAAAGGTCAAAGAACAAGGTAGAAGTTATATTGCATCAATAGTTTTCAGATGACAACATTAGTTCTTTGTTAGCTTTTGCAATGAAACTTAAGGTCATGAATCTATAATTCTTTAACTTAAAAAAAAGACCCTTAGTGACTTTAAAATTAAAAACTGAAAGGATAAGGCCGACTTTTTTTTCTTTCTCCATCTCTTTCAGATCTTCCACTTTTTTCCTTAAGGACCCTCTACACACTAAAGGAAAAGTTTTTTTTTGACATTGAGAAAATTATAGTGTGTAAAGATCTATAAATTGAGCTTATCTTAATTTTACATTTTCAACATAAATTAAGCAACGTACTGTACATTTCAATTTATTTTATTCTAGATCAAGGGGCAGATAACTCTGTCTGCTTAAAATCAGAACTCTTCAGTGTACAGTGTATAAAGCGGGAGACATAAATTCCCTGAATTAGCTTGTTTTTGTTTTGTTTTAGTTGAGGCGCGCGCTGGGAGCGCCCCGCCTAAATCCTGCGCTTGCTTGGATATACGTGTTTTTTTGTTTTGTTTTGTTTTGTTTTGTTTTTTTTTTGGAAAAGAAAACATTAAACAGGATCGACTGGCCAAGGTCCTTTTGACTGTAGTTACAATGGTGAGTAACAATCACCCCACCCACATAGAAAATCCCAAAATCCAGATAGTTCTTCCTACCATAATGTCACAGCTTGTTACAGGTCGACTTCATTATTAACCTTTTGTGAAGACATGGATTTCTTCACTTCCCTCTTTCATATGAGATTTCTGTACCATTTTTAGGACTGACGGTCAATATCCCTTACTTAACTAGCCTGCGTTTATTCCAACATGTATGACTCTTGTACTGTGTGAAGCAGTAATTTCCCTCCTTTAGTATACATGTACCTTTATTGACCCTCTTCCTAACCCTCTTTCTTCATCTTCTCACACTCTCCCTCCTTTCTCTCTTGTCCCTCAGCTTCTCTTCCCTTTTCAACTATTAATTTTTCTGTTTACATCAAATGTCATACAAATATAATTCCAAATGCAGGTATATTGCCATATTACCAGAAATTTAACATGTATTATATTATTTAAGGTCATACGCAACGTATATGCACCTTATAACGTACACCAGCCAATGATAAATTTTCAAGATACTTTTGAATTAAAATCATGGTACCATCAGATGTTCTTACCCCCCCCCCCCCAAATCAGCATTCATTACCAGGGGTTTTAAATATAAAGCAAATGATGAAAATCCTTCTGTTATCCTCAGAAATTTTTTTAAAAAGATATGGTTTTAGCTGGTATTTCCTCTAAATTTGATTAAGAAGAGGTGTACAGCATCATTTGGCATTGTAAAAGCAGCACAAAGGTCCTTCAATCATTGGAACTCTTAAATAACACAGGGAATAAGTAAAAAAAAAGTCCAAAATTACATTGCGCATGTCCTTAAAGTGAATTTTTCTATAGGACACATTTACTATATCGTACCATAGCATGGTAGTTAATAATATTCAAAATGGACTATAACAGAATCTTGAATGAGATTCGGTTCCGCTGGACTGATGTCCTCAGCGAAACTCGGGACAGTCCTTAGTAAACAGTATTCATGATTGAAAACTTTCACTGGTTATATAGTTATAGATTTGCACTTAGGTAACACTACCATTCAAATAATCTCTCCACCGTATCATCACAAACCTTGTAATTAGTCGATGACTGATTTTCTTTTCAAAGTCCCATAGGATGTAGGCCTATAAGTTAATATATCTAAAAGACGTAACAATTTCCCCACAACCCCTGTGATAGACAAACGCAAAGAACGTTAGGTGTACGTACTTTAGGTAAGGTCTGCACAATACGTGTCAAATCTGCTGCAATATGTTTCATAGAATTTGAAAAAAGGATGGAGCTGTAAAAGGACATAACTATTACATATTAATGATTTTCCCCCCAAACAAACATAATTGATTAAATACTGCGCAAATATGATATATATCCGAATGACTGTTTCTCATCGCGTGTAGAATAAAGGATTTTTATAGATTTACGGGGCCGAGAGAGCGAGAGAAAAACAAGCCCTGATAATGAGTAATGCAAGGTGGATTGAAAAAAAATTGGTTATTTAATTTATTTTATACAGACAAGCGTCATGAGTTTGAAGTTATAATAAAAATGGAATTTTCTCCTTTATCAATTTTCGTTGTCTTTATTGGGCGCTTACAAAATTTAATACGGTCGCTCCTTGTGACAGATATTATTTCTAAAATTTGAACATAAAAAAAGTAATAAGCAACCCCCTCTCTTTCTTTCTCTCTCTCTCGATCGAGAATACGTGCATCTAATTATTTTTAGAATCGGTAGGAGAAAGTAGTGCAGAAAAAATACAAGTTCCTTAATTTGCAGATTGAATATAAAATTTGTGATAATGTACTTAACTGAGGCTCATACTTGTTATTAAGGAGTATTTATTTAAAATTATTTTGTGTATTACAGTATCATAACACCAGTTAGAAGTCCAGTACTTTCACTTTCAATTTCAGAGGACGCATTTTGCCGGAAAAGAAATCGAGATTTTAACCAAGGAAAGACAACTTGATGTACTAAACGTGAACATTGTCGTCTATGGGGAAACAATGTAGACTGTATCCATTTAGCAAGTGAATCTTAATATGTTGACGGTGCGACCGTTGGGGCGAGCGCATTGTTCACTTAAAGATCCACCTCGTCAAACCACACGAGACATTTCGAACGTCTAGACTGTGACGTCACATGATGTCGTATGTTAGCTGCATTTCCATAAAGAAAGTTTGAAAAGTGCAAAAATTTAAACAAAGAATGTTTAATCTACTAGATCTACCTGTATGCAATATCCATTAAATTAAGGTGAGTTTATTTTTTGTGAATGTTTAGTTGTTCTTACCGCGCGAACGAAGTTAGCAGCGAGAACAACAAGCGATGCATTGTGGGTCCAGGATTACTGCGGAAAAAAATTTTATTGAATGAATGTGCAGTAGTCCGAATTTTCTCTTCGCCCAGGCGGTGTCGTTAAAGGTCGCAGTGACGAGCGGCGCTTCGCATGCGTGGGTAGAGTCTGTTATTGGATTGTGTCTGGTACGAGTTTATTTGTTTTACCCACCCTTTTTTGGTGTCAGACAGCAGTTTTGGGCATTTTACTATGTTACTGGATCTACTTGTCTTATCAAAGTACGAACTAAGTACGGAGTATTTGCCAACCCCAAATATAGGCTTTCTGAAATATGAACATTGATTAAGCAAATTTTACCTTTCATTCATTCATACTTTATTTCCCTTATTTGAGGATTATGTGAAAGTATAAAGTTACATTTGTACAATCAAGGATAAACACATAATAAATGACAAAACGAACAAATTGAAAGGGAAAAAGAGAAAACTAATGAAATATATGGAGAAAACGAACAGTATTCAAGCTCAAAAGTCCATTTAACATTACAAAATATGTGCAGAGCAAACACGGACCTCCAAAACATCAGAGATGGGATCAGGTGCCATGGAGGAGTGAGCATCCCCTGCCGACCGGTCACACCCGCCGTGTGCTCCTTGTCATGATCGGGAAATAACGGAAAAATCCGTCGACAATTCAGTGTAAATAATGGCCTAACAATTAGTATGAAAAACGTCAGTCAGCATTTGACTCAATGATAAATTGTATTTGCTGACAAGGTCATTGTCTACCATAGAACTTACGAAATGATGACTTTAAACGAGACGAGAAATAAATTAGTCAAATAATTAATAAATAAATAATTAACAAATTTGTAAATTGATGGCCACTGTAAATTGCGAGTGGTCAGTTGGCAAATTTGCTACTGGAATTGAATGGCCCGGTTGATTGATTGATTGTATGTTGTTTTACGTCCCATTCGAGAATTT